GCAGCCTTTCTTAGAAATAGGACACATTGTCAAAGAGAAATTCTTAACTTTTAGAAACTATTGAAGTAAAATTATCTATCTGATAATTTAAAGCTATTAGCATGATGATTCAAATGTGGAATTACTTACATATTCGCTGTATCTCCATTTCCAGCACTCATACAGAGTAGGCTAGTTCCTTCAATATCAAACTTTTGTAGTTTGTAGTCAGACTGTTTTTAATCTCTAGCGGTGTTGCGAGATGTTGGGTTTCGAAATAATATCAAGTTGTATTGAATTTACAGAATTCAGCCAGTTTTCATCATCAGAATTCAGTGCTGAAGAAAATATTCCCCCAAAAATTGAAGTAAAAACCTACTTAGATCTGTGGCTCTACTTGCTGTTAGGCAGTCATTTTGGGGGCTATAGGGAGAAAGTTCAGAAACAATGCACCAAATTGCCACTACCGTTATTTTTCGTAACTTTTTTTTATTGCCCTGTGATAAACCCATTACTCAGATACTTTTTTGCCATGGCATTTTTTTACAGAGCTGAAATATCTCTCAGAATTTCTGTCTTCCAAGTAACTTGTGACATAGATGGGTAGGGTTTGATTAAAATCAAGAGGAGACATATCCTGAAGTATCCAATGTAAATTTGCTCTGGGACAGTCCTAGTAAATGCTGGTTTTCAAGATCAGCGTTTTTTTTTCAAGACATCTACAGAGTTCACAGTTCTGGGGCAGGATTAAGCTGGGACAGGCACGAATGCTGTTTTTCAAGAGCAGCATTTTTTTTTTTCAAGACATCTACAGAGGTCACAGTTTTGGGGCAGGATTAAGCTGGGACAGGCACAGGTTTAGGAGTTGACAAGCCCTCGTAGAGTTCAGTCCTGCAGCAGATGGCTGAATTGCTAATAGAAATCTCAGCTTCTTCTGGGCTCACAGGTTTTCTGCCTTCCTCTCTGAAGGTCCTGGGTTTGAGGCTCCATTTCAGTTTCACCTATTCAAATTAAACCATACTTGTTTCAAAATCAGCTTTTTCAGATTTGCATATTCACAAAAAGACGAACAGACAATGCACAAAGCAAAAAATAAAATTCAAGCCCTGGAAGAGGAGAATTTCTAGCTCTTGTTTCTGGCCACAGTGCTAACAGTTGGGAAAAGAAACAGGAATGTGTATGTGTGTGTGAGTGTAGTACGTTCGCTTGGTTCTCTTCAGAAGAAACTAATTACTTTTGAGCTTCTTTGGAAGCAAAAACTGGAAATATTCTGCAGCCGAATAGTTCTGGTAATTAGGTATCAGTAGTGAAAATAAAGCTGCGTTGGATGAAGTAGATATCTAGTTCATGTGTTTTTGTCAAACTGAAGTGTCATGAGTACGAATTGAAATTACATGTGTAGCAAAATGAGAAATGTAGAAGATGAAAAGTATTTTTCAGCCAAACTGTAATTTTACTACTGTGTAACAACGAATTTTAATTCAAACTTATTTGTGTGTTTGTTGCAGTCGGTACACCTTATTATATGTCTCCAGAGAGAATACATGAAAATGGTTACAACTTCAAATCTGATATCTGGTCTCTAGGCTGTCTGCTCTATGAGGTAATACTGATAATATAGAGTGAACTTAATAAGTCTTGTGCTCTCCCCTCCCCCCCCCCCC